CTGCTAGGTTGGGAACCTCATATGGCATCCACGGGATTATTGCAAAAATAAAAAGAAAAGCGTCTTCACGGAATCCGTCTCCACCATGAGCAAAAATGATAAAAATGCAAGTGTACCACTTACGAGTGGCATTCCATACCTCAGGAAATGGTAGGAACTCAATGGGGATAACGTCGGTAGTCCTTACTCAGATGAATCAATTTATCCACCCTCGGACCCCTTCTTCTTCATCATCGACAACGAAGGGCCTGGTGGATCGGCATCGTAAAGCTATCAGGCCTCGACAATGAAAGGGTCGGTACAATCTGATGAGATGGCTAAGGGTGAACTCGAGCTCGGCTTCTTCCGCAAAGAACCTCATCATTAGCGCTATTCTCTAGAACGATGGGTGAACCTATGCCAGGGTAGCCCGATATCTTTGACAGAAGTCAAGCACGACTCTATCGAGAGGGCCCAACGTGAAGGGGTATGTGTATACATTCAAAAACCCCTCTGTATGAGCCATGATGTTCTCTTCCGGAGAGGGTACCTGCAGTACCACTTTTTCTCCCCATCGACAGTCTCTTCTCACTGCCTCGAGGTGTTACTCTCTTATTGACGAAGTAAACCTTGATGCATGATCCCGATGACCTTCGACATTGGGAGGCCTCTCTAGCGAAAGGTCCTTCCTCAAGATAGAGCGTCTTGAGATTGGCTTACCAGGCACTGGCGGTGTACCACCGATTGAGCGGAAAGAAGAAGCGGAACCCTCCTCTTCTTGGAAAACGGATTTAGGTGTAGCAGCCATGGCTATAATAAAACAAGAGAAGGAAGACGAAAACTCGGGCGAAAACTTTGAATTAAAATGACGGAGAAGCTGACACAAGGAAGAAGAACTCTATGAAAAAGGGTAGCAGTTCAAAATAGTGAAATCCTCAGAAAAGAAGGAAATAAACTCATATATAGAGCAAGCGACGACTGTCCGTTTACCCTACAAGGCCAATTAATTCCGACTTTACCGTTATCACTTTCGGGAAGATGTACCGACAGGATCACCTCGATCATTTCATAACCATGTCGTACGATTAACATTGGCGCACGACGTTCGAGGGTTCAGAAACCCCCGCATCAACCTGGCCTCGAGATGGTACCCGATCTCGAGGATCTATGTCAAAATGAAAATAGGCTCTAAGGAGCCATCAATATCACTCTAAGCCTCGAGATGGTACCCGATCTCGAGGATCTATGTCAAAATGAAAATAGGCTCTAAGGAGCCATCAATATCACTCTAAGCCTCGAGATGGTACCCTATTTCGAGGATCTCTGTCAAAATTAAAAATAAGCTCTAAGGATTTATTCGTATAAACCTAACCTCAAAGTGGTACCCTATCTCGAGTGTTTCTACTATTACAAGTGCGGTTCATCCACCCGATTCTTTAGCCCTCGAACTACCTGAGCCCGAGCCAGTTCTCACTCGAGAATTACTAATAAAGCCTTAGAGCTATTTTTCACCTTCAGATCAAGTTACACACCCACTCGATTAGTCTAGTTCAGGGGCCATCCGAGTTCGGGCGTATCCTCATCTGGGGTCTATCAATAACGCCCTAGGGCTATCTTCACTCTAAGTTCAAATCAAGTTTTTTAGGCCACCCGAGCTCGAGCTAACTCTCACTTGTGGACTGTCTGTAAAAGTCTTAGGGCTATCTTTATTCTTAAGTGTTTGAGCAAATTCTCCCTCGAGGACTATCAACAAGGCCTAAAGGCTAAGTTTCATTCTAAAATTCGAAGCCCTATTCTCACTCAATCCGAAGTCGGGGGTTCCGGTGGCCTAAGTTTGTATCAATTCAATCAGGGCTCAGTCCTAGGAATGGCAAAGGGTCCCACGGAATATCATATTAGTCAATCAGGAACCGAGGGAATACCTACACCAGGCCTTGGTATTTAGACCGATCGGTGGGGGTCATGTACTCAGATTCTTCATAAATGCAAATAAAAGGAAATCCAGCATAAATCATAGACAAATTAAAGAAACATCTTTGTATTAATGAGCGATGATTACAAAAAGCCCATGAAGGGTCCTTACACATGATTACAAAAGCCCACTGAGGGTCCTTACACAGATATAAAGAAGCAAAACATAGCAGCTAAAAGTCTAAACTACTCTCGAGAATACATCCTCGGAAGCAATTTCTTCGAGAACCATTTCCTCGGGGGCCTCATCTCGATCTTCCAAACGGCATCTTCAAGGATGAAGAAGAAGCAGAAAAAGATGAAGAAGCAGAAAAAGATGAAGAAGTGGTGGGTAAAAAATTTGGCGAGTATGGGTCTCGCCAGCACTACTATTGGGAAGCCACTTCTTGAGACGTTGCACTGGTGTGGGATGCAAAAGTTAGTAGATGTCATCACCTCACTCCACGAAAAGCAAAAGAAGTGAAGCACCACACCAGGTGGAAGTTAAAAGAAGTGAGCAGCAGTCTATGGTCCACATATCCTCTGATACAAAGATAATTTGAGATTTCTCTCTCATTATTTCGGGCCAACAACAACAACAACAACAATAAACCGGTGCGATCCCACTCAATAGGGGAAAGCTTTGAGAAAGGTCCACAACATAACTGGCGAGAATACTGTCGTGTGACCTTATGGCCACGGGCTTCAAACATGGGAGATAGAGTTGGATGAGGATGAAGAGAAGAAATGAGTTAAAGGATGTTGTAGAACGACTGAATGAAGTCTTGATTCAAGGAAGCTTCCATTTATAGAAAGATGGCAATGTAACCGATGGCACAATCAACTCATTTGGGAAATGCATCGACAGGGCGCAATAAATGCTTTTTGGGGAGGCGGCTCGGCAGCGATATTATCGATTTGAGAAAATAAACCGGTGCTACATTGAATGCTTATGGAAAGATGTACGGATGGGACATCTCGATTATCATAAAGGCTTACGTCATAAGCATGATGTCACCACAAGAGGCTCAAGGAGATCGGTGTCAAAATCGTTTCTTGTCATTTTCATTCTAAGAAACGTGGGGACTATCTGTATACGGCTAAAATCGGAAAGCCCGATTTTGTGATTATTATGATATCCCGCAGCCCATTTTCGAAAGGCTCGAGTCCAGTTCGAGGTTCGAACCTGAGGGTCCTTTATGCTCGACCTCGGGGCAGAGTAAATCGACGGCTATGATGAACGAGTAGGAGATTCCCAAGGCACAAGACTAAAGCTGACCAAGACTATTAGGTTAGTTCAAGCCCGTATCGTGGCATTAAATGGTTGTACCAGCCATATATCTTTGTAATAAATGCACATGTACTACATTGGGATTCCCCCTAGTATATAAAGGGGACCCTTGTCATTTTGTAGAGATCTGACTTACAACGATTAAATATAAGAACATTCTCTCTACTTTCTAACTTAAACATATTTTCTTGATATCATTACTTACATTTATTGCTTACATTTGTTGTGTTCCATCTGTTGTTCTTCATTTATTGCTCATTATTGACCACAAAGAGCCTTCATCAAAGCTCTCAACAATGTTAGCCCTTCATCGGCTGCCCATAGCTCGTTATCAAATCCGACCTCGAGGCCCCGAATAATCAGGCTCGAGGCCCCGATTCTCATCCGCTCGGTTTGCTTAAAACACACTATTTTCAAGTTCTTATCTTATTTTCTAATCTCGTACTTAGCGTCTATCGCCTAATAACTAGCATAAAAACAGATCACATATTTTTAGAACCACAAAATTAAATCTAATTGTAATTACCATTTTCAAGGTAAACTTTTTTCATGGCAAGTGTGATACCTTGAATAAAACAACTTGATATATGTAGCTAAATTGTGTTAACAGTGTAAAAAGTTGCCTCCTTTCTTTTCTTATATGTATACAAGCACATCCAAGCTTCGATGGGTGAGATTAAGATAAAAAAACATAGTGTAAATTTCTTTCACAATATAGATGGATATAGCACCTTGCCTACTCATAAGTCATAAGTCATAAGTCATAAGTAAAGTTAACTCTTTATATTCCCTCCGTTCACTTTTAGTTGTTCATTTTTAACTTTGCACTTTCTTTAAGAAAAAATAAATGAAATATATATTTTACAAGTTTATCCATAATAATTATTGTATAATATTTTATAAAGTGTACTGGCAAATGATTATCTGGGGAATAAATAGTTAATAATAATTAAGGGTAAAACAAGGAAAAAGAATTTTATCTTTCTCTTGAGTTGCTAAAATTGACAAGTAAAAATAATAATGTCTTTTTAGTATAATGAACAAGTAAAAATAAATGGAGCGAGTAATAATTAAGATAACTTGGCAAAAGACATGATCGTACCTAACTTGATTTTCACAAAATGGGCGAAACATATAGGATAACTTATATAAATCTTCTCATTTTTCAAGCCGAGCCAGTCCGTTAATTTGTTGAACTATTTAATGGAATTTATGGTCGACCTCTTTTAGATATGACTGTGCCTATAGTGTTTGTAATTAACCTATAGTAGTTAACAGAGTCGTGCATTAATTGTGTGTAGAAAATTAAAACAAATGTCTAAATCAAATTGATCAGACCGCACAGTAACAATCCAAAAGACAATGCCAGCAGTACATTAACTTGAGTTGTCCAGTTCTTGTGTTTAATTGGTTCAGTCTGAGACAGCCCCTAGTTTCCAATAATATTGATACTATTATATTATGGAATAATAAAGCAGCCGATAGATTATAGGAGTAGTAATTTTTCAAAGAATATGTAAACATTAATCTTTTAATCAAGATAAAGTTGATCTTAAGATTACTTGTTTATAACAATTGGAACTTTCTGGTATGCAAAGAATTATTTTACTTCTATATATAAGATCAAGGGAAATGCATATCCTTTCCCTGTCTCCGCTAATGCCCCTATTTAGGTTATTGCCACGTCAAAGAAAGGAATAACAAAATAATTTTTAATTTTTCCAGCTGTTTACAGCTGTTGCTCACTTTCTCTCTCTATATAAGTGGATGGTTTTAAGCTTGAACTATAGTGCAAAAAGTTACTTCAGCTAAGTAGCAAGGACTTCGAGAGCTATTAGCCATGGCTATCTCCAAACTGATTCTTGTTGCTATGGTGTTTTTCTCTCTACTAGTTGTTCATCTTGTGGAAGCTGACAACCAAGTGGTGGTATTTTTTAATTAGCTTATGACTGTTGAAATATTTTTATGATACTACGTTTTTTCTTTTCTTTTTTGCATGCTTTAAAAATGATAGAAATTCCGTATGGTTACTAACGTCTGCTCATGAAACTTGATCATTCAGGTGAACAAGGATGCAACAAAGAGTTCTTATACCCCTAAATTAGGTATCCATATAAGCTACTTAATTTATTCTTTCCTTCTCTGAGTCTTGAGTTTTCTTTAACGAAATGTGCAGATTGTGGAGCAGCCTGTGAGGCAAGATGCCGTCTGGCGTCGAGGCAGAAAATATGCAAGAGAGCATGTGGGACTTGCTGCGCGCGTTGTAACTGCGCGCCACCTGGCACTTCCGGTAACCTAGAGCTGTGCCCCTGCTACTTTGCCATGACAACCCATGGTGGCAAGCGCAAGTGCCCCTGAATATATATAAGGACTTTAACAAATATGTATAAATATTAGACTTTACATTTACGAATACTCTCCTGTCTAAATATGCTTGCTATGATGATCACTCGTGTAATTTAATTTGCCTATGTGTATCGTTGTATATATAGCTAATAAGATGAGAAGCTTTTTGGACGTACGTGTTTGTCGCAAGATGCTACCTGAATTCTTACTAGGAGTACTATACGTGATAGTTACATATATAAGGTAATTGCATATCACGTTATGTTGATTGACTGGTGTTTTTGACATAACATCCGATCTGTGAAAATTGGGATGCTTGCAATTAAATTTTCGGAGTATCATGATTATCCTCTTTTTCTCTCGTATTCACTCAATTAACTAATAAGAACTAATTATACTATTTGTGGTGTGATGGATATTAATTCTTTTCATTTTTAGTCAAAATCTCGGGTTCGAGCCTAGGAATAAAAATAAAAAAAGTCTTGGTACAAACATTTCGCGGTGCAATTCAGATTAATCCGGCCCAACGCGAGTAAAAACTGATCATAAGAGTTAGTTACAGTTTCAGGTTTAGTTATAGGAATTTTGTCCATCTACATGCATAAATGGCCTTTCTTTGAAAATGCCATAGCTATAGCCTTTCTTTTTGTCCGAAAGTAGCTAGGTTCCAACAAGGTCGAGTGTCAAATCATTTCAAAAGTTAATCAAGTTGTTACTGAAAAGCAAAGTAGGATTATGATCAAAACAAAGAAAATATTAAGAAATTATCATGTTTTCTTGATTGATCTCTGAAGCTAAACAAAAAAAGGACACCTTCGAGTTTTCCATTTCTACGCTTGAAATTTGAAGGAAGCCTTATAATTACAACTACTATTTTTGGACATAAAAGGAAATATTAGTCGTAAATTTCTTTGAGGTATCGAAGGTAGAAAAAAAAAAGAGCTAAAACCAATTAGGGCGTTTTCATAATAAAACTAAATATGCCCACAATTTTATTTTTATCTTAATCTTAGTAAAATCAGCCTAAGGAAATAAGTCAAAAAGGTTTTGAGAGATGATCTTTACTTGGTAAGGACAATACATTTGATTAAAGTACAACTTAAGTCATCATGGACATTTCTTAAATTTCTAACTTTCTGAATAAGATGGTGTTTGGCTAAGTTTATAAGTCGGTCAAATTAGCTTATAAGTACTTTTTGGCTTACTTACGCATTTGGAAAGCATCAAAAGTGTTTATAAGTCAAGTATTATAAGCCATAAACTATAAGCTGGTCATCCCCGACTTCTTAAATTATAAGTACTTTTAGTTTGACCAAGACTTTTACTATTTTATCCATAATATTATTTTATAATTCGAAAATACATTTAATGAAATAAAGCTCTTAACTCTATTCTTTACTTCCCTGCCATCTTCCCGGGCTTCTTTCCCAGAAACATTATCCACCGTAGACATGAACAACAAAAAGCACTTTACCTTCAATATTAAATCAATCAAATTGATTTGAGTAAGAAAAGTTCTATCTTTTGTTAGTCGATTTCTTCATCTCTTTGAAACGTTATTGTTTTCCACCATTCAAAGTTTTATTATGAATATGAACTAAATTATCCATTTTTAATTGCATTGTGTTTGTAATGAGCAACAACGCAGTAATAATCATCTCATTATTGTACTTTAGCTCATTATTGCTAAAATAATATATACTTAATCTAATCAATTTTGAACTAAAAGTAAATCCATAAGTTAATTTATACTTCATTAGTTTAGAATCAAAAATCTTGTATAGTTACGTATATATTTATTAAATAGTTTTAAGGGGCATTTAAGTCATTACACATTCCAAGAAAATGCTTATCATCACCTCTTTACTAAACACTTAACTGTTTATTATCGGTTTCAACACTTAAATCTAAACACATATCTGCTTATTTATTAAATCATTTTCAGCATTTAAAAGTACTTTTCAGCATTTGATGCTTATCAGATACTTTGAATCAGCTAAGCCAAACGGGCTCCAATACTCTACAGCAGCATTCTTAATTTTTGATGGTTATTATGGACTGAATACATTATTCTTGGTACTTGGTTCAATGAAATTTCATGTATTATTAGTCTCACGGGTTACCTTCTAAATTTCGTTACACACGCAACAAATAAGAAATTATTAGCTTCAACAGTTCCTAAGAAGACCAGCATCAGATATGCTACCACCAATCCAGTGCTCAACAATTACACCTGCGAAGAGAGCACTCCTGAACAAACCTGGTCCACAGCACTTTTTTTTTTTTTTTTTTTTTTTTTTTGTTTAGTCCACTGAGCTTCCAACTCAAGTGAGACGAGGAAAAGAGAAAAGTACCAACTTGTACAGACAGCAAAATTTTTACCGCAATCGGATTCAGAATTCAGTAACCCAATTACAATTAAGTAGTTAAAATCTCATCCCAAGACAACGTACAATGTATCTGAATTTACAGTAACTCTCTACGAAGCTGAAAGTTTCATCGGCTCATGATCATTGCCAGAGCAGGAGCAGCAAACTGGAAGTTTCCCCAGAAAATGAATTAAGTATGAATTAACATCTAAATCACTAAGCACCTAACAAAAGTACTTAAATTTGGATTTTGCATAGTTCATCATGAATGGTAATTGCGTCCGGTGGCCCCTCCCAACTTGACCCCCTCATACTTCTCAATCCATGCAAAAAAATCATGGACTCCTTCAGTACTCAATGTAAGAAGACATGACCTGTACATTGAACTCGCTATCCTAAAGAGCATCGTTTTACCCACCACCCAGATTTTCAAACTTACATGTGTAAGGACCGGATGCGACAAGTCAAGGATTGGGTGCAAGCCGTGTCTTCCTTGATCTGGCACGTGTTATTCGAACTGCTTCCTCCATCACTATCTCAACAGGAGGTTTTGCACTTCGATTGTCCGAGGAAGGCACTCGATCAATCTGCACCACTTGAGTTTCGCTGGAACTCGAAGCTTTGGTAGTTTGAGCGAGGGCTTCACTTGGAGTTGCTTTTTGTGCATTTAAGGAGGCGGCAGGGGCAGCTACTGGAGGCGGTTGTGAGGGCTTCAGCACTTCTATTGCGTCTGCTTCATTTTCACTTGAAGATTCAGTAGAAGCAGGAGATGCTTGTTCTTCAGTCTGTACCCGTGTTGTTGGGGCAGCTGATCTATGTTTTGGTGGTGTTACTGTGCGCTGGCAACCTCTACTGCTTTGCCTCTGTGGCTGCAATTCAAGAAAAAAACTCACAATTGACCCTCTAACACAGGAGTTAAATTCCAGCAATACAATTGTGGAGAGAAGATTGCAGGTGGGAGGTCATGATAGATAGGCAACAAAATGCATGCAATAAACATAGGCAAACAAATAAGATCTCAGGTGTGAAGCTACTAAAACCATATGATTTAATAAACAGCAAAGTCATTTGTATAACTGGACAAGCAAATTTGTGCTCCTAAGGAAAATAAGATTTCAGATGTCAAGCTACTAACACCATTTTACGTAAATAGCATGACTCAAAGACAGCACATGATTGAGATAGGAAGATCAACTCTGAGACACATTAATGAAAACCTGAGTTGCGCGAGGAGTTGACTGAGAAGCAATATATTGCAATATATCAAAAATCCTCGTCTGCACATAGCTAGCAGCATTCTGCCAGTATAGCAATGCCATATCTCCTGCTCTTGTCCTCAATTCCAACAAACTACGATCAATATCAGTCTCATGCCTTAACACTACGGGTCTAAAGAAGGAATCATAGACATATGTTGTTCCCTGCAATAATTTTATGCGAAGACAAGACAATTAGGAGAAGATGGCCAGCAGAACTAGTCAAAGATTGAAATTTCTTTCAAGTAAGAGAGGATATGTGTGGATACCTTAGTTTTGGGGCACCACAAGTATATGAAGAATGCCAACTTAGCTTCGCTGTACATTGGAACCCTTCAAAGCATAACAAAAGGGTTAACACTAGTTCGGTTTAACACTAGTTTATATGAACAGCTAAAACTTTACTATGATTACCATGAAACAAAAGCATCACCAAACCTCTCACAAACTGTCAATACAGCAACTAAGATCCTGAAAATTAGGAGGAATGACGAAGTTACAGGCAACATTCATGAGAAGATACTTTTGAGGTCTAAAGAGCGAGTGCTGCAAAATTAGGAGGAATAATGAAGTTATAGGTGACATTCATGAGAAGATACTTTAGAGGTCTAAAGAGCAAGTGCTGCAATATACCAATACTGGCACCAAAAGCGAAGTTCCTGAATATTAGGTTTATTCATTTCCACAGTTTTAAAGCACTCATAAGCAGGATAAGCATAACCAAAGACCAGCCTGCACAAGGAAAAGGAAGGATCATGATTTGGGAAACTAGGACTACTAATGTTCCAAACTTTATGATGGGATATTTTCAAACTCACACAAGCCCTCTAGTGAGAAAAGATCCAATCATCTTGAATTCCTGTGACAGGAAAAATGTGAGTGCTCGTTAAGCACGCTCTAACATTAGTAACATACAGAATTCAAGTGTTCAACACATAGGGGAAAGAAACTTATGAGGAGCAGTCAGTTTAAATTTAATAATACAAAGATAAGAAATACAGGAAGTGCCAAGAATGCCATTCCTTTGGGCCTTTTGTTTCAAAGGCAACGAGTAACAACAATAACAACGCCGCAATCACAAACTATTTTGGTTGGCTATGGGTATCCTCTATGCCCGATCCTTTTCCAATACTAATATGAGTATTCAATGAAATTGCTTTTGGCTTCTACTTAATTATTTATAGACCATATATTTCCATATAAATCCACTCAAGGATTATATAGAATCTTCTCATTAGCTAATGAGTTCCAAAACAAAAGGAACAACATTGAGCCCCAAACACACAATATAAAGACAACAATAGGCCACAACTTAGTCCAGAATCACAATCAAGCTAACTATTTACTTATTATATTTTTTATGGGAGTAAGACAATCAAGCATTCACTTTGTCAAACACAGAATCGCCTTGCATTGCACCACTCATTTCATATACTAAAAATTTACGCAGATTGTGATTCAAGACTTTATGGCACACTAAGCAATGGAGTTAAAACCAAAACAAATTCACTTACTACGTTCTCTAAATATCTCCCAAGTTATCTAAACGGCAGTAGAGAAAATAGTAAAAGCAAGGATCGATGTTGTATAAGGACAGACCTCGACTTGAACTATACATACTTAGAATACACACACACACACAGAGGGTACAAGAACGAATTAAATTAGATAGTGAATGAGGCAAAGTTTCACTTAGAAACCCGATCAATACCTACAGTTGATGAATCGAATAACTGAACAAAAATCTGTACAAGGCAATTGATCGTTGGTTAATAAACGGAGAAGCAGAGCATGTAGCTTAACGGAGTGATTGTTGTCTGTTTATGGAAGATACCGGCGCCGGCGAACCGTTGCGATGTCGGCGGCGAGGGAGGAGAGAGAGGGAAGACCAGATTGTGTCGTTTTAAAATTCTATCTATCTAGGAGTAATTCACTCCGGTACCATTTTTAATTAGACTAGTCTTAGGCTGGCGTTTTAGGCTATATATCTTATATCAATAAGTATAAACTTTATAAATTATATAAATATTATTAAATAATGTATTTGAGTTATAATTTTTTTAAAAAAATTATAAGCTCTTGAAAATGACAAATACTGATCCTATTTAGTCAGCATTTTTTTTTTGATAGCTTAGTAATTTATTATTTATCCTTATTTCATTTTAACTTAGGATGAAAATAATTGTCTAAGTAAATATATTCTAGACAGGGTAACTAAAGAAATAAAAAAAATATGACAAATAAATTATGTAGCTAAAAGGTAAATATTCATTGCTGAGTAGTATTTAACTATAGGTGTGTGATGGAGCCTATTAGGTAAGAGACGAATTTCAAAGCTAATTCTTATTTTAAAGTCAAATTGTGTAATAAACATTTTTTTAACCAAAAAAAGTCCTTTTCATCTAGTTGACGGAAATATGCACTACAGTAAATTATGGTATTTCCTTGGAAACAATCTAGGTAATTTTTAATTATTTAAAGTCCTAAATATAAGGACTTCTTAATTAATTCAAATAAAAAAATTTAAAATAATAAATTTGATTATACACTTAAATATTAGCAAGGAGAATAATTAAGTAACTATTTTGTTTAGTGTGAACTCTATTTTAAAAGGGTAAAAAAGACGAACGACATTTCGCTAAGGGCTTTCGTACTTTTAATAGAGTATATAGATTAGTGGGGTTTTGCATTTTAATTTGAATATTTGAGATGGGATTGATTATGTGAGGGTCTATGGTAATGGCGTGAGCTTCTTCATCATAACCGTCAAACTTGGAAATGTCGTAAGGTTAGTTTGATTTACAAATACATGTAGAGATGTACTCTTATTCCATATTCTGTCTCACATGAGGACCCGTTTCGCCATAAGAAAAGATTTCTTTTGTCAATTTTTTTTTATTTTTTTCTAAATCAGTGTTTGGCCATGAAATTTTAAATTTTCACGAGAAGCTGAATTTTGAAATTTTTCGGAATTACAAAAATTCAAAAACAGCTCCAAATTGTATTCATATCCCAACACAATTCTTATTTTCAAATATCATTTCAACTTAACTTTTATTTTTTACTTTTTTTCCGAAATTTTACAATTCTTATGTCCAAACGCCCACTTAATATGTTACTTCTCGCTTAATTTAATGTGACATATTATTTAATATCGCCAATCAAAAGTTGCATTTAGCTATGTGATGATTATTTTTTTATTATGCGGTCAACTAAACACTATACTTCCTCTATTCTAGTTTTGTGAATATTTTTGCTTTCCAAAATTTAAATTATGTAAATTTTGAACAATATTACTTTGAAATACATTTTTGTGTTATATTGATAAGAGAATAATTGAAGCTTATAATATTTTTTGTATAATTTTTGAATATCAGAATTTTTAATTTTTACAATATTGAGTTAATCCAATTCAATTTAACTTCAAAAATTAGTTAAATTGAATCTCGAAAAGCAACAAGGTTCATGTAACGTGGAAGCACATAGAGTATTATGTTACTATATGAGATGTTATGTTGGAATTAGGTATTCCAAACTATCAACCGAACGTGGTTTAATGTTTGTGGCTTTAAGTGAAAGATAGACTTCCTTTAGTACCTATGAACAACTCATGATTTGGAGAAATGTTAGCATCACTCTTTGATACCACTATCAAACGTAAAAGTAGGGGTAGCAAACTGACGGGTCGGTTGAATATGACCGGATCAAAATAGATAATTCAAAAAACGAATAAATTATCTAATTCGATCCGTATTTGAAACAGATAAAAAACGGGTTATCCGGCGGATAATATGAATATCCATATTATCCATGACTTCTTGAATATTATCACTTATGGGAGAATTCCTAATCTTTCAAACTTAAGGAATCCCAATTTGAGGCATTACAAATATAAAAGTTAAACACATTAGTTGTCCATTGTTTAATCATTTTCTAAGTGAATAATATTGTTTTTATCCATATTCGACCCGTTTTTAAATGGTTCATTATCCAACCCATTTTTTATGGATAATATAGATGAATAACTGTTTTCTTTTAACTATTTTGACACCTCAACGTATCAGTGTATGAAGACCAGAGTATATCATTACCCTCCCAAAAGCAAAATAAGAAGTAAAAGGAATTAAAAAGAAAAGAAAAGATTCTTTCTTAGATTGCTCCCTAATAATTACTTGTACTATATACATACGTTTACGATGACAAAAACACCAAAAAGTTAATATGCCTAGTGCCCTTAATACTATACTATGATCACATAAACAAATTAAATTTAAGAAAGAAAGAAAAAAACACCAGCTACTTTTAAAAATATTAATATACATTAAATATTCACAAGGTTAATTGAAACAAAAACATAGGAGAAAGTTTAGAGATAAAATGCTGCAAAATTTTACAAAAGAATAAACTTGACTTACATCTCAAAAATGCAAAAAAATTATTGTGAGAAACTGGTGTATCTTATCAAGGAATGTGTAAAAGTTTTCATCAACAGTTAAAAATAATTATTTTTCGTTAGAACCTATTACAACCGTTATTGATCTAACCATTCTGCTGTGTGAAGGAACAGGTGGCTGACATATATAAGTAGCTCTAATAATATTTCATAATTCAAAAATGGGTAAAGTGTTTATCCTGTTCTTAAAATTTCATAAATTATTATAAACAATTAAGTCTTAATTTCAGTGTTCTGCTAAACTATCGCAATATCAATTACTTCCAATGAATCTGCTGGGAATAAAAGATTGAGGAGCCATGCATTTTGCACGTTTACTGTCTCATTAACTAACCAAAATTCAATTCATACTATATCGAGTTAAAAGTTTGATTAAAGTGTTTGATGCCCAAAAAAAAAAAAAAAAGTACTTTCAAGAAATATTAGTGTTGAAATAAATCTCTTGAGAAAACATATTTGATGTCTTCTTAATAGAATATATGAGTTCACCAACCTATATAGAGACCAGGTTCTCTATGAGTTTCTATAGAGAATGCTAATAAAACAGTAAGCAAATAAGACAGAGAGTTTTTATGTGGAAAAATCCCTGCTCAAGGGGATAAAAAATCACGATCTACACTGGTAGGATTTCAACTTCACTATGAGCAACTTTAGATTACAACCTATGCAATCTAGGAATTAAATTCTTAATCTCTCACTAACTTGTAATACACCTATTACAAGCCACTTTGCAGTACACCTATTACAAAGAATTCAACTCATGACTAACTCTAGTCACGACACAAACACTAAGGGTTTATGATTTTACAAGGGGTTCCTAAGTAACGCTTCTAGATAAGCAAAGTAGGAATTTCAATGAAGACCAATTACAAAGTTACAACTCAACTAAGGACATACAAAATACTAGCTCTAGGAACTGGTCTGTAGTAGTGTTAAACTTTGTTCTTGATGCATTTGAGAATTGAATGTTTGAATGTCAGATGCTTGAATGAATTCTCAAGTGTTCAAGTAATATTTTGTTGTAATGTTTAATGTTAATACAACATGGATGGCATCACTTGAATGATGTAATCACTTGGTAGGTCACATGAGAAGTGACTGCAGAACTGTGCTGCACTATTTCTGTGCACAGTGCAGGCAGTCACTTTTCAGCTTTCCAGCTATAAACAGTTGACTTCATACTGCTGTCAGGGAAATACAAGGGTATCAGGTCCCTATGTTGATTTTCTATCTTCTGAAGTCGTAGCAATTCACATTAGCTGGAGTCCGTTGATTTGAGTTGTGTACCAAGTGTGTCAAGTTCCTTATCTGGTTCTTTGACAGTAAGTTTGTTAGATCATCAAAACATAAAGCAAAGGCATTGCAAACCCATCAATTTTCCCATTTTTGATGATGAAAAACTTAGAAATTGATAACACATATTTAGAGCAAAATTAACCAGATGAAGCAACAGGAACCTCACAAGTTCACCCTAATTCTATGTTTCCCCTTTAATCAGATCCCTGTTTCAATTATACTTCCCCCTTTTGGCATCATTAAAAATACACAAGCAAGCAATCAACATAAAAAAGTCTAGCCTAGCTAGCTTATTACGCATATGTACACACAACATGATAGAAAAGAGAAACAGAGAAACATAAGCATTAAATAGCAAAAGAGGATAGTTTTTATAAAAACATATGCCTTTGCTATACAGCAAAGGCAAAGATTGGACTGTTATCAGCGGGAGTAGTACAAGTACATCCCATCCATACCATAAAATAAAATAAAAACAACTGTCAAACTCATCAAAATAAAAACAGAATAATCCAGAAACTAGTCACTGAAGGGTTGCCTAAGGGACACTAGGAGGAGAGGTCTTGGAGGTTGCAGCAAGGGTGTTGAGAACTAGATCTATTCGGGCATTCGTCGACATTTGCTAGGTGAGCAGTTTCTCCTTCAGGTTCTCTACTTGTTGCCTGAGAGCAGCATTTTCTTTGGTCAGACTATCTATCTTCTCATTTGACCCTGGGGCCCCTTGGGCTTGCTGACTCTCCAGTATGGCATTCCTTGCCTTCAACTTTCAAATCTCCTCAGTAGCATTGTTTTGAGCATTGAAGAGCTGAGAGATTGTCGAAGTGCTGCCTACCCCTCCATTATTTTCAATACATTCGCATTCCTCCAAAGTAGTTTGAGAGAATGTCTGCTTCTTGGTCCCTACTTTAGACTGTCCCAAAGGCACTTTGAAGAACTTGAAGACGTGCGTGAGAAGAAATCCATATGGAAGACCGTGGCTTCCATCCTTGAATGTTGCCACCTTTTGCATCTGTTCAATCATGATGGAAGGCAAGTTACAGCTTTAAACCCATCCAGTACTTCCATCAGATACAAGTCAGACTTGGAAATAATGGATCTTCTCTCAGCACGGGGTAGAAAAACCTTGTTCACCATCTCGAACAATAACTGATAAACGGAAAGTAGAGCTTTCTTGTGAACCTGTTCCCCCCACTGGACTGCACCTTCCTTCACAAT